TGGAGAGGGCCAGTGAGTGGAGAGCAGAGAGGGAAGGAGAAGGCAGGATGGAGAGGGCCAGTGAGTGGAGAGCAGAGAGGGAAGGAGAAGGCAGGGGGGAGAGGGCTGGAGAGTGGAGAGGAGAGAGGGAAGGAGAAGGCAGGGGGGAGAGGGTGGAGGACAGCTTTGCTGTGCCTGATCCTCCCAAGCGCAAGAAGAGCAGGTGGGACAATTAAACTAGCTCCAGACTCACTGGTGTTGGGTGGGGGTCGGCACTCATAGATGAAACAGACCAATCTGGCCATTCATTAGGGATAATAACCTAATAAACACATTTACATAGAAGGAAAGGTATATGAGACTTATTTTTTCCATAGATGAGATGTAGGCTACATCTGAAAGAGTACCTTGGAATGAACAGAATCTCATAAGACTCTTATAAGGATATGCATCATAGTTAATATGGCTGTTACATTCTGCAAATGATATTCTGCAGGAAGGAAAGAGTTGGTTGAAGCCTATCTGCTCAGAGCCTTGATGTAATTCCAGTTCAGTGGATCTGATGCAAACTGGACTGTACCCATGCAAGTCTACCCTCCTGATTGTCCATCCCAGGGTGGAAACTATGAATGAATGCTGAGGGTCAATTTTCCAACCTTGGAAGAAGGTGGGGTGGAGTCTCCAAGACCATCATGACCCTAATGAAGAGGCCGGACAGTGTGTGTGTTCGTCAAAAATGAGTGTCACTGCGTGAAATCAAAAGCTTTTTCTTTTTTTTAAAGTATTTTGTGTGGATCTGTTATAATGTGAATAGTTCAGTAATCGCATCTAAGTGCTATGTTAACAAAAGCTTTGTTGAAATTTTAACAAGTGCCAGATGGTACTTTTTAGGGTTAATCTGCCATCTTATTTTGGCACATTGGATCCCTAGTCTTTTCTGAAAACTTCTTTCTTCAGTGTTTTTTTTTCTTTGCAAGGAGTGAAGGTTTGTAAGAGTTCTAGTAGAATTGTGAGGGTTTTGACAACTTTTGTTTTTAACTTCCCCTTTGAGATTTCGGTTCTTAATTTGCCGCTGAAATACAATTTCTTTCCATGACCACTTTGATGCAAAACTCAAGTTGTCTTAGGTGTATGAGTAGCAGCCACGGCTAATCTGACAAGGCCATTGGACATTAATGCCTGTATATTATATATACAAGTAAAAGAAATAGACCTTTTCTAAATTAGTTGGGTTGGAGGCTACAATGATATAGATTTGGAATACAGCGATTCTGCTCCAATTGAACAATTTCAGGTTTGAACAAGAAACTCCTTGATTTTTGGGAAAACCCTTTAGCACAGCAAACCTTTTGCAGGTACTCCAGTACATGGTAGTTTTTTTACAGAGGTCAGGGACTTAGGGAATTGGCTGTCACCAGGATCATGCACAGTGCAGTATGGAATGTGATTATCAAATAGCTGTGCTGTCGGGATCTGCTCCCTGTGCAAATGGACTGTCAGGGGCTGTCAGTCAGTTCAGGATTTCTCAGTCCCCACGTGTCTGCAGGTTTTTAATATAGATGAACTATTAATAACATATCACATCATAAAACAGAAATCCCTGTGTGATACCTGCAAAGGGATACACTTTGAACTCTGGTAAAGAATAGTTGTTGGTTAGCAGGTTTAAATAAACATGAATGGTGCAGTACAGAAGTAAAGTGTACATCCAAGCCTTGAGGAAGGATAATGAAACATTTAGGTTTATTTTTTTAACTTCTTTACAGTGATGAATTCTGATCTGTCCTGGAATCTCATGGAAAGTTACATCATGTACTAAACCGGATAGAAGTCAGAGGTTTCTGCACTCCTGTGTTTTTTTCCTGTATTAAGTATCTTTTCAATATGTACATATTTAAAGTAGTATTAATTTACTGCTCCTGCATACTGTCAGTTCTGATGATTTTATTTTCCAATAAAGTCATGTTTGTTTTGATGTGCATTATTTTTATTTGAGCATTTGCTGTACCCTGACAAAGGTGTAAGCAGCTGGTATAGTCAAAAGCATACGTCTGCTTCATCCTTGAGTAATCGGCTTGTGCTTTAACCTTACTTCTGATGTTGTGTTGTAGTGAATTGGTAACATAGACGAACAAAATAAAAATTAATCCTATTGCTTTGGCCATCTTTTTAAGATGTAGTTTCACAGATACGTTTTTGTCATACTAACAAGGAGTGCCCTTGTATATTTAAAAAATCAATAAAACAAATGGACTCCTTTACTATTGGAGCTCTAGGAGACGGAGCAGTACTGAAATAGTCTGCCAATCACTGGCACAGGGTGCATGACCAATTGCTCTTGAGAGAGAGGGAGCTTCTCTCGAGGGTGTCAGATTCCTCACTGTCCTGCAGTGCTGACCAGGAGACCCTGGGTCAGGAAGCCTGTGCCCTGGGAAGTGTCCTGTACTGAACTCTGGCAGTTCTCAGCCCCTCGCCACATTCCCAGGCTTTGGATGCAGAACCCAGCCTCCCATGTCCCACAGATACAGTATCGGTTAACTTATTGCCACTGTGCGTTCCTCTGTGGCTTGGTTTCCTGAGACAGGATTCAGTTGTCTTTTACTTACAACTATACCCTGAGTTGTGTATAGCTCCACATAGTCATGGTTAGTGTTAGTACTTAATATGTAAGGAAAACATACTGGAATGTAACTGTACAGCTCTGGATTGGTCACCAAACTGCCTCAAGGTCTGTTAAAGGGTATTAAGAGCTGTTTGTCTGACAGGACTGGCAGTGAGGGAGTAATGGGGTCCTACATTCTGTGGTGTAGCTGTTTTTTTTGTGCCATTCTCAATGGGGTTAAAGTACACTGCTGGGAGCAGTGTATCTTCTCTCCATAGCTGAGATTGAGAGGTTTCTTGAGAGCACAGCTGGAGTTTTGAGTACTCTGGGCATTCCCATCATCAGAAAGGTCTCAGTTGTGCAGCATCCTGGCCAAACAGGATCAGCCAGCGTAGTTAGGTGCTAATGGTTGTTTGTGAAAAGTATGTGTTAAAAATAACAGTTGGAAGAGTGTACCTGATACGGTAAAGAATTGAGTGAATAGTGATTAGTGACCTGAGGATTGTGATTGGGCAGCAGGGTGCAAGTCTGGCAGAATACTTCAGTGGCTGATGGTATTCAAGTAATGAACGGCTCACCTAGTGAAAAACAACCTAACTACAAGACCGTGAAGACTTCCCAGAGAGAATTAAAGCTAGATTCCTGGAGGGAGTATGAGTAGGTGAATGACCCTTTTAAACCTTGAAAACATGAAACAGACTAATTAGACCCCCTGGCAATGTGGCGATTAGGGTGGTTTATATGCCAGTGTTGTTAAAATGCTGTTTAACCTCAGAAAGTTCATAACATCTAAACGAGGTGTTTCCCCAAACCCTGTTCCAGAGGGCTGTTGTCCTGCAGATATTACATGATCTAATTAAATGTGGAGAAAGACTATTCACAGAGCCTGCACAGGATAAGAAACAAGGTCATTTTGGTCAGAACTAAAAGAAAGTTGTCTCGGTAATCCTGAAAACCATTACAACCACATTTAAATTTGAGAAAGTTTATTTTCCAGGTACGGATGCTCTACTGTATATAAAGTAAAAGTGATACTTTCACTTGCATATCTCTCAAGCTCAGTGCTGATGTCAATCAACAAGGAACAAATAATAATGATTTCAAAGCACTCAAATTTCTACTTTAATTCCCCCTGGAGAGATCTGAGGTTATCTAATGATTTTCATTTCTGGCTGGGGCTCTAAGAGAGCAGGATTAACGATGATTGCTCTGGGCAGTAAGTATAATGGCTGATATGATCTTATAGCCACTGTTGTAAATTTGTCCTATTATCAGTTTGGTTATCTGAACCATCCTTCTCTTCAAGATGCTCTCTCCAGAGCCGAGAGAGCCGAGAGTGCCACGTGGTTCAATAACCTCAGCCCATCTTCCCATGCTTTCGATTCTCAGCTTCTCCCTTAGGCTTCTTGTTTGTCACTCACAGCTCCTTTCTGCCTGGAGCTCTGAAGTCTTGGGACAGCCAGTCTGCTCTGTGGGTTAAAACAGGATAGACAGGAAATTCCAGGAAGAAGAATGACTCAGACAGTGGCTCCTCCATGGTGTATCCAGTGAAACCCAAGAAAATAAATACTCCAATGGCTGACCACAGTATGTTTTTTGCAAGAGCATATAAAATACAACAGGGCCTTGCGACAAATGCAATAGCTATAAATGCTGTTGTGTAGAAAAACCTTAAAATTAATTTCTTTTGTTTTGCCTTAAGTCACATATTTTATTTACCCCTTATTTAATCAGGATCTTAGCCAAGGTAAATTACTAGTGAGTATTGATTACTAGGTTTTGTGTTTATACTCGAGTATGGGCACCACTGTTGTCTCCTTTTGTATCCTGATTGTTCCAGTCAGCTGGTAGATGTGAAAATAAATCAGAATTGCTGGAGGCTGACTTGCATCCCATCCATGAAATGCTTACTGGCAATAACTCTCCTGTCAAATGACAACTTGCTCTGCAGTAGGGTGTGTTGGAGAGGAACGTCATTACGTCTCTTTCGCTCCTGAGCGGGCACCAGAGCTAAGTTTGGCAGTTCCGGATAGGTTGGTTATATAACATGAATTAACATCGTTGAATTTATAAAGGACAATGTGAATGTTCCTAGACCCAGGAAAAGACTTTCATTTCAGTGGTACAGTTGGAGAATAAACAGAACCTGAGAATCAGATTTGAGAAACTCTGCATAAAGTGTTCGTGTTTTGTGAACTGCAGTACCTGACAGTATTGTTTTTGCCGTATTGTGTGTCCATATACTGTGTCTTCACTACATACATAAATATTGCATGTGTTTTCCTTAGAAGCCTCAGACTGGAGCTCAGACCAAACTCGTTAATCTGATTTAAATCTGTGTTATGCCTCTGTTCCTCCCAAAACCTGAAGTCGAGCAAACTGCTCTTCATTGGCAATCTGGTTTTCATCCTTCGCATTGACACTGCCATTTTATAGACCTGACAATTGTACCGGAGCCATGTATGCAAAGGAAATTCCACCATGACTGAAAATCAAGGACACCACACATTCCAGTGCAACATCATAGTTTTAGTCCACGAAATATTTTATCATATGCTACATTTGTCATTCAAAACAAATACAGTAAGAAAAGTACAATTCCGCTACAGAATTACAGCAAAAATGCTACTCGCGTTCACAACAGTTACATATTTATATCCTTTACTCACATTACATTCCTTACCTGTCTTGTAAGGGTCCTAATCTTATGCCTTAAGAGAAACAGCAATTTTGCAGAAAACCATTATAAAGATATAATTTAGACTTTGATTTTTCAAGGATACAGCACTACAATGAGTGGGCAAAGCATATCCATGATGCAAAGGCATCCATATCAGTGTAACAGATCCCAGTGCAGTGAGATTGCTACAGAAGTGAAGAGTGGAAATAAGTCAACCTTCTGGGAGTTGAAGAGTGAATCTAGGCCTCCAGGTAAAACTGCACTGTAATTTAATATATACAGTACATTATATTCTTAATTAAGTTCCTAATTAACTCTAAATTTAACTCTGTGAATTTAATGGGCTGTTTTCTTGATGTGGAAAATATATTTACTGTATATAAATTCTGCCCTACAGCTCAGTCAGAAGAAGAAATGGAGAGTGCTATCTGTAATGTATAACTATGCCATTGTGAGATTCAATTATTCTTTCCAGTAACTCCAGAGGGCAAAGTGCCCGTTGGAATGTATTGTCAGTCAGGGTAAACACTGACATTCAGACATTCCAAAATAATTCTTTGCTACTTTTCTTTAAAAAAAAACAAACAAGTGCCTAGATCTCCCCTATTTTAACATTATGAGTGTATGATTGATAGATAGATAACTTTATTAGCCCTGTACAATTTATTGCATTGGGAATTTGTCTTTTCCGCATTTGAACTGGCAACCTTCCAGCCACAGGTGCAGATCCTTAGCCACAGAGCCACCGCTCCACCCAGTTGGGCAGGCACAGTGGTACAGTGGTTAGCACTGCTGCCTTGCGCTGCTGGGACCCTGGGTTCAATTCCAGACCTGTCTCCGTGCAGTTTTGTGTGGACTTCCTCTGGGCTCTCCAGTTTCCTCCCACAGTCCACAGACATACTGGTACTGTTAGTGCTGCCCTGGTGTGAGTGTTTGTGCTTGTCTACCCTGTACTGAGCTGGTGTCCCATCCAGGGTGTACCCTGCTTTACGCCTGTTGCATGATTGAATAGACTCCAGCTCCCCCACAACCCTGAACTGGAAGAAGGATTAAGAATACAAGTGGATTGAGTGAGATGGGAGGTCAAAGCTGCCAAAGATGACTGGAAGAAAAACAGTCCAATAGTACATGGAAAAATCTGGTCATTTATTTAAAGTGTAGTTTTCTAAAATGTTTTAGAAAGTCCTTTACATAATTTAACCCAATATCTTTAACATTTTAATTCAAAGTGCTTAGTGATCAGTCTTTTCAAATGTGCTTTTACTTAATTGAACACATTACACCAGTGGTGCTTCTGGTAATTTGTATGCTTTTGAAGTGTTTGCCCATATAGCATGTACTGTGAGAGGAGACCTTAGATCTGTGAGTGTTGTTAGAGCAAAGAGCTTGGTCAATGTGTGACTACGCTTCAGTGAGCCTGCACCTGCAAGTAAATAGATAAGAAGGTCATGGATATGATTCCCTCTGTGATGCACTTTGCTTCAGTTTTACAAACCTCAGTATGACATATTTTTTTCAGCTTCATCTGTCCAGTATGTACCACAGCCTGCAGCATGTAAAGTCTGGATGAAAGCTGCTGTGAAAAAGAGGACCAGTCTTTCTTTTTTGATCAGATTGATTTGGGAACGCGCTTCCCATTGGAGTGCCTCTTTTTCTGTCTGGTCAAAATGTTCAGACATTTTGAATGTTATTCACATACAAACCGGATGCCTTATGGACATTCCCCATCACTGGAGTCACTGAAAGCCAAATGGAGGAATTCACAAAACCTCGTCGTTGCCACTTGGAAGGTTTTAAATTGCCATGAGATTTCTCAAAGATTTTGCCAGCAATAAACTCGCAGATACAGATTAGAAAAATGGCAGACAATGAATGCCAAAGGCACTGTTAGCAATACATGTTAAGCGTACACCCACCCATAAACACCATCTGTTTGATTTTAACTTGGCTGTTAATTTAATTTAACTCTCAGACCAGTGTGTTCAATCAGTGCCGGAGCTCATCCTCCTGCTTTGGGGAGAGCTCACATTTGGCAGTTAGTACCAGTAATAATTAGCAGTAGGCAAATCATGTGCTGTAGAGCTGTGAACCTGGAATGGCTGCCATCATGCAGGACCACTTAGATTCCGGAACCGGTATTTAAAGTATGAGGAAATGACAATCTTGCTGTAACTGCATTTACTACGGGAGATTGTAAAAATAAAAATGCTTCTAGCAATAAAATGACATTCCTAAAACGAACGAAATGCTCTTGAAAATTATTGATGGAAGGTGCTGCTAGCAAAAATTGCCAAGTTGCCATGTATAGTCTTCTTGTTAATTATTTACAGCTGCATTAGAATTAGGACACATGCAACATATCCGCCCTTGCGGTAAAGTCAGCCTCTGGCTGCAACAGGACCAAACTACCAGATACAAAACTGTCGATCAGCTCATCAGCTCCTTTGTTTGAGGCAGTGATTCCATGTGAGGAATCTGACTGGAGGAGTTGTTCTCAGGCAATGTACACAGCTATGTACACAGCTACAGTAAATTGCAGGTTCCCAGTAAAATCTTGCCAGCTTCAAATCCATCCAACCTCAGCAGAGCCAGCTGCCTCTTTTTTCAATCGTTTATTTTACCAGATAAGTAAATAAAGAACACATTTTCATTTATACTACAGACCTGGAGATGCCTCTGGGCACCAGAGCACTTCCTGAAGTGATCTGAGTGAAACAGCTTCTTCAAGGGCACGACAGAATATGACTTGGGATTTGAACTGTTTTAAGAATTCTTTGTCACACACAGATGATAACATACTCCAAAAGTGGAACGAAGAGGCCAAAGCAAACATGCTTGTTACAATATGTTTTTTTCTTAGAGATTGATAATCTCTAAGATTACCTTTACCACACCTTTATGGACAACTAAAGAAGTGCACTGCATAGGGAAGGGTGAGATTTATGGATAACGCTCACACAGATCATAAATACACAGCAAGCAGTGACTTTTATTCAGACAAACATTTTCTTCAGTCCAATGTGGCTGTTTTACTGTAGGCCTACGCAGGTACTGCCTGGAGCCAACTGTGCAGGCTCATTTTTGCAAATGAAAGATTTGAAACACAGTTGTGTAGTTAAACATGCATCTTATGCCCTGTTAAAATGTCTATGTCATTTGTGAACTAAAATTTGGCCATCCAAAATTATAATCTAAGAACGAAGGAAAGCTTAAAAACAGGATAAAACCAATCAGTCGTGCTTGCCACCTGGTAATTAATCCCAGGACATCTCTTCTGGAACTCAAGGCCATCCAAAAGAGAGCCTGGAAGTTGTTTCTTTCCATACTGAATTATCTGAGTCATCTGTGCTTCTATGCCAGCTATTTGACATTTATTCTCACACCTGTACCCTGAGTTAACTGCATTTAAACTGTGAGCTGATCAAAGTGTTCTCTATTGAATCCACTGGCTCCTGAACACAGTCGAAATCTTTTTGGCAGCTGATGTCCCAGTTGAAAGAACTTCTCCATTTTCAAACTAGAGCGGTATTCAAGTCTTGAAGAATTGGCGAATGGCGCAGATAATCAGGGTATGTGCATGAATTGCTCCCTTTGGGTTTCCTGGAGGTGGCAAGATGGAAACTTTTACAGCTTTAGCCCTTAGACCGTACAGGCTTGTGTACGGCAGGAATCCTGTGGGCCTGTATTGGTGGGAGTTTCGATGCTGGGGCTCGAGGGACTCACAGAACCGTTTCCAAATCCTTCAAGGAGGGCGCCAGGCAGGGGTCCTCCTCCGCAGAGACGCCTGCCTCCTTCCTCTCCTTCGCTTTCCTGCAGCTGGGCGGCTGCTGCTCCTGGCCGGAGGAGGGCAGGGAGTTCTCCGAGCCGCTGGGGATGTAGCCGGGCAGGTTGGTGAGGGAGTGCAGGGGCAGGACGCGGTGGCGCCCACTCAGCGGCTGTGCCCTGGAGGCAGTGCCGCTCATGCTGACGCTGTTGGTGGCGTGTGAGATCATACCCCCATAGTAGCAGCTCCCCCCACTGCTGGTGACCCTGGCTTTCTGCTTCAGGTCCAGCACCAGGCTGCGCCTCAGCCAGGCCTTCTTGATCTCCGCCTGCACCTGTCGCACACACAAAGTCAGGCCTCGTCCATGGTAGCCATGGTAACGTTAAATGGGTGCTTGCCCATTTTCAGTATTGATCATTTCACGTTGCTATCTTCAATAAGTACCCGCCCGTGTTCACCAGGACAATTTGGATCAGGGCAGGGATTTCAAACTGTCTTTAAATTAACAAATTAACATGGTCATGTTTTTTCTCTAAATAATTTCAGCGCATTAAACATTATAAGTTTGTGTAGAATTCATGTAGATTGCCACTAAGGTTGATTGACTCTGGTTGTGACCAGTTTAGTTGATTTTGTGATTTTCACGCACAGATGGATATTAGAATATGAATTTGGGGATTGGGGTTTAAAATATTTCTGTACCATGTACACCCTGTTACATTCTGAGGTTAAATATGGGCTCCGTCTTTGTCATTGTATTGGCATTTATGGTAATAAATCTGTATCAACGCTTTTAGCTGCCTGGAAAGACGTTCCATAAGAATAAACTCATTTCAGAAATTCACTGAGCTGTGCATCATTCCAGTTGGTTGGATGTTGAGCCCTTAGAAATTAATTTGCACCTTGAGCACCTCTTTACTGTTAAGAGTCTGATCATTTTATTTGAAGGAAATGTCTAAACTGTTACTATTAGGCAAATAAATGTTATGACTTACCTCCCCGTTGCAGAAGCAGTAGATAAACGCCACAAAGAAACCCTGTGCGTGGGAGGATATCAGGGGACATTGAAAAGACAAAGATTAAAGCCATTCTTTTGTAACAGAACATTAGACATAGAAATATGAGCATCTTCAGTCTGAATCCAAAGCAATAATGATTCCTTACACTTATATCATGCTTTTCTAGACACTCCACTCAAAATGCTTTACAGGAAATGGGGACTCCCCTCCACCACCACCAGTGTGTAGCCCCACCTGGATGATGAAAGTGTGCAGAGTACGCTCCCCACACACCAGCACACACCAGCACACACCAGCGTGATGACGCCAGCTCATAGGTTGGGATTATCAGGAGGCCATGATTGGTAAAGACCGGGGAAATTTGGCCAAGATGCCGGGTTAACACCCCTGCTATTTTCAAGAGTAGGATTTTTAAAAACCACAGAAAGTCAGGACCTCAGTTTTACATCCCATCCGAAGGACGGCGCCTTTTTACAGTATAGTGTCCCCATCACTGTACAGGGGCACTAAGACCCACACAGACCACAGGGTGAGACTCCTTACTGGTCCCACTAACAATTCTTTCAGTAGCAACCTTAGTTTTCCTGGAGGTCTCAAGATCCAGGTACTAGCAAGGCTCATACCTTCATGCCTCAGTGGGCTGCCAGCTGTGAGCTGTAGGCTAGGATACGGCTGCTGGCTACGGATCTTAAGGATCAAAGAGTCACAATGAAAATCCTTTTTTGTAATGCTGCTCTAAGGACAGGGAACTGTTTTAGCACTTCTTGTAATTTTCACAGATAGACATTATTAGTGGTCTGGGAAATATCTTCAAAATTTGTCATCCCATGTCTGTAGCAGATTTGAGGTTCCAGTAGAGACACCTCACAGACATACCTGTGAGCAAGACTGCACCTCCTTGTGAGCTGACATCTTAAAATGGACTTGATGGACTTTAAACATAACCTTTAAGGCTCTTCGGCAGTTGCAGTTGCAAAACTTACCACTAGAGGCCAACAAAAACCTCTAATTACAATAAACAGACACACCAGGTGACTATTATTTAATTAGTAGATTGTTGGTTATGGGTAGGGAAAGGCACATTCTCACATGGTGTAATTACGTCTTGTTTAGTATATAAAGGGCAAGCCTGACTCTAGTAGTGTTTTTTTTTTCTGGTGATTCTTTTTTGTTTTGTTAAATTCCTAAAAACTAGAGAGCTGTTTTAGCTGACAGAAATGTTTTTAAATGTATGAATCCTTTTAGAAGTTTTCACACTTTTCCTGAGAGCTCTGACTGGATTCCAAATAATTGAAAGTGAGACAATTTAACAGTTTTGTCATCTCCAGGTGCTGGAGATTGAACACCAGGAATTCAACACTATCTTTCTGCCATTTATTCAGAGAACAGCTAAACTCAGTAAAAGACCTGACAGATCAATGAAAGGGAGATATGATTGTAAAAGACAAACATTGCCTGAGGAGTTAAGCTTATTGGTTACTGCTGTGTAGATGTCTATTGTAGTAATGGCTGAGGTTGTGAAACAGTGATGTTCTAATCCAGAAATATGGCAGGGACTAATAAAAAATAATAAAAATCTGAATCAAAGTCAGGTCAATGTATGCTTGGCATAATCTTACCTAGCTTGTGTAAACACTGAGCAAGTTAGTTGTGCTGTATGTTCATAGGGGTTATTGCATCAGTGAGTTAGTTTGCTCCTGAAAAACCCACCTGGGAGGAGTTGAAGAACATCTCGTAGTGCATCTGCACCTGCCACAGCAGACCTGTCACCTCTGTGTAAGGCAGAGCCATGAACACCATGTAGTGAACCCCGAACAAGGGCATCAACACCAGGGTAGCCTTCAGCAGCTTCCTGAGAAGACAGTTTCCAAACCACTAGAGACAACCACTAGTGCAGCTGATCTGAACCAGTGCTTTAGGCAAAATGAGAATCAGCACTCCTAAAGGTTCCAGAAGCATGAAAGAGACACATCCACTAAGCTTCCATCTCTCCATCTAGCCCAATTAACCTACCAGCATGTCTTTGGATTAAGGTCTGGAATTGAACCCAGGGCCCCATCACAATGCTAACCACTGTGCTATTGTGCTGTCTACCACTATAAATGTGTAAGAGAAAAATTCACTATTGAATGTGATTTCTTTGATTAAATCTAGAAAATAAATAAACATAAAAATCCATCTCAGTCGTCTTGGCACAGGTGAAATGTGTAAGGATTCCCTTGAACCTGTATTGCTGTCTGGGATCCAGTTTTCCAGTGTTGGTTTCCCACAGCTTGGAGGCTAGAACCCTCACAATGTTGAGGAAAAGAAAAAAGTTAACCTGGAAGACAAAAGCAAAGAAATACAGGAGGTGATTCCTGAACACGTTTGGAGGAACTGGTTTACTTTTCGTTAAACAGTTAAACAGTTTAGTGGCTGCCCTCCAACAATCATTGCTTACAGTACATCTCAGGGTTTTCATTTCTTTACATACACTGGTTTTCCAAAGCAGTCTGGAAAATGAAAGCATTCTGAAGAGCAAAAATCTCCTGGGGTGTTAAAAGTAATGGTAAAAGTTTAAAGGTTGAATAAATGAAAAGTTATTGTACTTGTGGGAGAGATTATAAAAGTTGTGTCTGTTTCAAAAGGAAAATGTTCTGGAGTGAACAGCATTTAAAGTTGTTGTGTCAGCCCACACTTTGAAGTGCAGACTTTGCAGTGGTTTTCAGACATGCAGTCTTTCCAAGTGGGATTAATGTGTAATAACTCCAGTTCTCTCTGATGCGTGTG